GTGTCTGCCATACCCACTGGATGGAAAGTAGATCCCAGTGCTGTCCTCCGGTGTTTGGAGAGTCATCACCTCTTCTCAAAGGCTGAAGTCTGCGTCGCCAACAAGCTGCCACATTTACAGAGCAGGACGGGGGTAGGTTTAACAGCTGTTAACCGCTTTGTTTAAAAGGTTTGGCAACTGCTCGTGCTTTAAGGGCATATCTGCCCTCCTGCATCTAAAGTTTTCCTTTTGGAATGTTATTTGGTACTACCTGGTGTAGTGGGAGGTGTCCCTGCCCATGGCAGGGGGGTTGGAACTGGATGATCTTTGAGGCCCCTTCCACCCCAAACCATTCTGTGATTCTATGATTCTACTATTCAGGCTGAATGAAGAGGATTTAACTGTTTTTCATGGCATAAGTGGTTTTTCAGCATTGAAGAAGGGTTTCTCTGCTCCTAAAGGCTCAAAGCTTTTTGCTCACTCTTTCTTGTCATTGTCTGTACCAGCCTGAGAACATGTGGGCCATAATTGCAGTCATGGTGCTTTTTTCCGATGGCATCAGCGACATCCAAAAGCTGATGGCGTGTCTGCAGAGACCCTGCTCTACCCTCTCTGTGGTGGACGTGACGGAGACGCTTTACTGCATAGCCACGCTGCTGCACGCCATGAGAGACAGGAGCATTGCCATCACGAACAGGTGAGGAGTGGGGAGATGCTTCCAGCCTGCCTGCCCTCCTCTAGGCATGGTGACACGTAATAGGTATTTTAGATCCTTCATTACAAGAAAGACCTTGAGGTGCTGGAGTGTGTCCAAAGAAGGGCAACAAAACTGGTGAAGGGTCTGGAGCACTAGTGTTATAGGAGCAGCTGAGGGAACTGAGGTTGTTCAGCCTGGAGAAAAGGAGGTTGAGGGGAAACCTTATTGCTCTCTGCAACTACCTGAAAGGAGGTTGTAGAGAAGTGGGAGTTGGTCTCTTCTCCCAATAACAAGTGAGAGGACAAGAAGAAATGGCCTCAAGTTGTGCCAGGGGAGGTGTAGATTGGATATGAGGAAATATTACTTCACCAAAAGGGTTGTCAGGCATTGGAACAGGCTGCCCAGGGAAGTGGTGGAGTCACCATCCCTGAAGGTGTTTAAAAGACGTGTAGACGTGGTGCTGAGGGACAGGGTTTAGTGGTGGACTTGGCAGTGTTGGGCTAACGGTTGGACTCGATTATCTTCAAGGTCTTTTTCAACCTAAATGATTCTATGATCCTATATACAATAAAAATATGCTCATGAGCAATTACGTTCCTCTTGGTTAGGGTTCTTCATTTCCTCGGTGCATGCAGTTTGTCAGGAACAGTGTGCACATCCCTAGCTTTTTGCAGGAACGGTCAGGAGCATTGCCTTTAGATTTTCTTTAATTCCTAGGCTGTTGCATAGTCTGCTTGTTTTTTGGGAAACAGTGTTCAAGAAAAAAATATTTTTTTTTTTCAGAAACAAAAGCAGGTTTTTAAGCAACTGTAGAAACTTTCTGATTAGAGATAGATATTCATCAGCTGCAACAATTTAATGCAGTTATTACCTTCCTGAGACCAGTTACTCACTTCACTCCTCTTAAATCAGGCTACCAGTCCCGTGGGCACCCACTGCGTGCGTGTAGCGATCCAGCCTGTGCCTTGTGTCACAGAGGTGCCCGGTCATGCGGAGAAGAGCCCACGGGTTGCTTCAGAACTGCAGTGAGACTGAGATAGGGATTAAGGACACGTGTACATTCTTCTTACGAGAAGTCTGGAAAGGAACTGCACTGGAAAAGGAATTTATAGCCAGAAAGAAGATAGTTCTGTAGGCTGCTTTCTGTGAGGTACAGTCTGGCCTGTGTTAGGCACAGGAGGATGGTTCATCCTCTGCTTGCTCAGCCTTGGGCCATGTGCTCAGGTTACCAACCAGAGAAATCAGGACGTTAGTTTGACCTGTTAGTGATTGATAACTGCTGGCTGAGGTCATTAACTTGAGTAAACGCCTGCTGAAGATGTGGCAGACAGAGGCTGTCGCTCACTAGCGGTAAGAGCCTGTGGTCAAAGTCACCCACATCCCGTCGCCATCTCCTTGCCCAATCTAGACTAGAAGAAAGAAATCAGAATCACAGAATGGCTTGGGTTGGAAGGGACCTTAAAGATCATTTAGTTCCAAGCTCCCTGCCATGGGTGGGTGGAGGGACGCCTTCCACTAGAATGACCATGTCTCTTCTGCCATTATCTCTTCAAACCACACAAGGTTTGTAATTTAGGGCATAAGGAGGAACATGTCCTCAAGGAACTGATACCTTTTTACAGCTCCTAGAGCAACTAGTGAGTCTGAGCGTGCAGGTCACCTAATATGAGACATGAACTCTGTCCTGGAGCGTGGCCCGGGGTGGCAGCTGTTAGGTCACAGGAGCAAAGCTGCACTGAAAGAGGTAAAACCAGAGTGGTGTCAACCCTGATGTACGATGGAGGTTAATATTAAACCAGCTGTTGCTGGCATAATTAGAGCTGCAGAGTCACTGTGCCCCCCTCTTTACAGCAGCAAAGCACCATGAAGTATTGTCAGGGCTAACACACCCGTATAAAATCATCATAAGAAAGTCGATGAAACTGGTTCAGGCCTAAACTAGCCCAAATTCTCCCTCAGGTTCCCCCAGACTGTTGCTAATAATGGTTCAGGAGAGCAAAAGGATCCTGTGGACTCTGATCCCAGGTCGTGTTTACGTGGCAGACCCTGAAAAAACAAACCTAGCAGGAGTGAGGGAGAGGCTGCAAACAGAGCTGTCCCCATGAGGTCTCTGAGGTCCCTTTTCAAGGCATAGCTGACTGCATTTTAAAATGTTAATATTGTCTCCTGCAGCTCCCTGAGTGCTTAGGGCTTCGTGCATAGTTCTGTTGGAAGTCTTCAAGAGACTGGCAGTCTTTTAGGTGGCTGCAGACGTTGGATTTATTGATGATTTCTCCATGAATGATTCTCTTTTGTCCTTTCTACCAGGATCCACTACAATATTTTCTACTGCTTATATCTGATGGAAAATTCTTCTGTATCTATGCAGACAGTAGAAGAGGAAACACTGGCATCATGCTGCAGACAAGACTTATGGTCTGGGTAATGCTATTTTAGGTGATCCCAGAAATGCACCGAGGTACACAGGACCCTGGTGGAGTGCTGAACCTTGGAGGGGGAGCAAACGTTTCATGGCGGGGGCTGGTTGACAAGAGCCTGAGATTTATAAGGATTAGTACAAAACCTTCTTCTGCTCCTTGCCATCTTCTCCCTGAGTTCTCAGAGGAAAACCAGAATCAGGCCTTAAATCTGTAAAAATTGAATTACCAAGCACTGACTGAATTTAAAAGTCGTTATTCACCAGTGGGTCTTTGTATCAGTGGGCCACAGCTCTGTGCACTCCAAATTTCACAGAGCCCAGATCACTCCAAAACACCCTCCCAAATCACCACTGTCCCTATGGATAAGAAGCTCTGGAAGGAGAGGAGAGTGCCTGCTTTAATTTTAACACTGTGTTCCTCTAGAACACTGCAAGCTGCACTCAGTCCAAACGGGGCTGGTTTGCTGGTGGCGTTACTGTAGAGCAGAGAACGGGGCTGGGGCCAACCCTGCTGTCTGTGCACGGGAGGGAATGAGATACCAGCTGCAGGACAGTGATTTGGCTCCTGCTTTCTGGATCCTGTTGGATAACTGTTATATACTAACTATTATATATATATATATAGCTGTTAAAAATTAGCATTCACCGGTAGCTTAATGCTTAAAAAGGAAGGGGAGATTTAGATTGGATATAAGAAAAAAAATTTTCACTCAGAGGGTGGTGAGGCACTGGCACAGGTTGCCCAGAGAAGCTGTGGCTGCCCCATCCCTGGAAGTGTTCAAGGCCAGGTTGGATGGGGCTTTGGGCAACCTGGTGTAGTGGAGGGTGTCCCTGCCCATGGCAGGGGGGTTGGAACTGGATGATCTTTGAGGTCCCTTCCAACTCAAACCATTCCATGATTCTATATTAAGGAGTAAAACGCTTTCCTTGCCCGTGGAGATCCAGGCTTGGTTCCCCTTCTGCTGCAGTTATCCTGGGCTGAGTCATTTAGCTTCCTTGTCCTTACCTGCAGAAGGGGAACAGTTGTGCTTTCACCTGCCACAGAGGTCTGGCAAAGATAAATCCAGTGAAATCACCGATGATCCGAGGTACAACAGTGAGAGAGGCCGTAACAAAAAAATATAAAAATCAAAGCTAAACAGATGCTGGGTTTCAGTGTTTCTTGGTTTCCCAGCCTTTTTGTTCTACCCTCTCCATTTGAAATCTTTTCCGGAGCAGATTTTGCTTGTTGGGTAAAAGATGCGTGCTGGGGGAAGCCATCCAAGTGCCAGCTGTGCCATCTCAAGGGTGCTTGAACGCGGCTTTCCGCCCTCCTGCGTGCTGTCGGGGGGACCCTGTGCCAGGAGATGGTCCCACTGGTGGCTGATTACAGGTTGCAGAGCTTCATGAATAAAACAACCGCGCTCCAGCCGGAAGCGCTGAAGGCCTTTCTCAATGTTAATCAAAGCTCTCTGCTCCCCGGAGAGGCAGGGATAACGGATCTGTCCTACCTGCTGGGAAGTTGGAGAGCAATTTAAGGTATATGCTCTCAAAGGCAGCAAAACCCCCCAAACCCAAATCACTGTGTGTTTTCAAAAACCCTAAGGAGTCAGGGTGCCAAATTCATTTTTAAAGCATGGCATGGGCCCTCGAGAAGATCTTTTCCTATGTAACCATCCCCAAGGTTTACTTTTTATTTTTGCTATCTCCAGCCTTTCCTTATTCCCTGCTTTTCCCATTTGCACAATAACCAAGTTGTTCCAGTGCCACCTTCCTGCCTGTGGGATGGGATCAATCGTTCATTAGTTTCCTTCTGCTGTTAGTTAATTTGTTTGGTTTATCTGTGAGGATTTGGTTTCTTAAATCGTTTCACTTTGGTTTTTTTTCTGGTTTTAGTAGTTGGCCTGAAGTAAAGCTGACCCATGAACAGCAAAGGATTTTGAATCACAAAATTGAGCATGGTCAAATAGTGAAAATTATGGCATTTGCAGGTAAGAGCCGAACATTTTGCTGTAAAAATAAACGCGTAACCTCTAATTCTGCTCCTTCCCTCCCTGCTGCTTTTGTCCAAGGAAGAGCGAGGATGCCAGGGGGATTGACCTTACTTTTAACCAATATGAAAAATCAGAGCAAGCTTTTGCAGAGAAATAGGAATGGGAAGCGTGGTGGTGGTTGCTCCTAGGCAAGCTGGGTAAATGTCATATTCATAGAGTCACTGAATCATAGAACGGTTTGGGTTGACAGGGACCTCAAAGATCACCCAGTTCCAACCCCCCTGCCATGGGCAGGGACACCCTCCACTACACCAGGTTGCCCAAAGCCTCATCCAACCTGGCCTGGAACACTTCCAGGGATGGGGCAGCCACAGCTTCTCTGGGCAACCTGTGCCAGTGCCTCACCATCCTCAGAGTGAAAAATTTCTTCCTTGTATCTGATCTAAATCTCCCCTCTTTTAGTTTAAATCCGTTGCCCCTTGTCCTATCACTACACACCCTTGTCCAAAGCCCCTCTCCAGCTTTCCTGTAGGCCCCCTTTAAGTACTGGAAGGCTGCAATAAGATCTCTCCGGAGCCTTCTCTTCTCCAGGCTGAACAGCCCCAACTCTCTCAGCCTGTCAAATTATAGATATATAATATTTGGACACATTCTGAAACTGAGTGTTTGGGCAGTTGATGACTGCCCCGAGCAGCTTGTCAGCAGCTCAGGAGAGGAGACGCGACTCTCCGTGCGTTGCGTAGTCGCATGCCGAGCCTGTTTCTCAGCGTTGTTGTCCACAGGCCACCCGACGGAGTCGCTCCTCCTTGTTTAGATTCAGCATCCCTGTAGGAGCAACACAAGCCTATTGAAAAAGAAAAGGAGAAGCAAATCATCTCCCTCCAGCTGCAGAAGGTTTCTTTTAAAGACACCACACTGGGGCCTTGGAGCTAGTGCATGCTCTGTGCCAGAACAGACTTGCAAAAGGACACCTACAGCTAAGGCCAGGTTGGATGAGACTTTGGGCAACCTGGTGTAGTGGAGGGTGTCCCTGCCCATGGCAGGGGGGTTGGAACTGGATGATCTTTGAGGTCCCTTCCAACCCAAACCATTCTGTGATTCTATGATTCTAAGCACCACAGTACAGGAGCCACTAATAGTGGGGGTTTTATGTCTGTACAAAGTCTCTGTGTCCAAATGACAGAAACGGGGGCGTTCATGAGCTTTACAAGTTACATGTAACTGCAACAAGGCACGGCAGAAAAAAGCTTGAGGAACTGCTGGCAAAAAGCATAAAAGACTTGTAATCCTTCTTCAAACAAGTGGACGAGGATGCTTGCCAAAGCATTATTAGTAAGCTACTAATAATTACTACTAATAACTAATGGATGCCTTAGAGTGAACGATGCGGTGGCAGAAAAGGTAAATGTGTTTCTACATCCGTATTCCTCATAGAAGTTCTTGGAAAGGACCAGCCTCAGGATCCTTCTCCTCTGTATGGGGTCCACCAGAGGGTCAGTCTCATAGTCACAGGTTGCAGATGAAATATGCATTGGTACTGTTTGTTTCATGATCCAAACCCAGGAGATGTAAAGGAACCTAAGGGTGAAGTGGCTGAACCAGTAGCTGAGTGTGACTTCTTGCTGAAAGCAAGAAGTTATACAAGGAGATGTGGGAGCAACCTACCAGCGAGCCCAATATCTGTACCAGGCAAAATGGTAAAAACTCCTCGTGGTGGATAGCTGGTTAAAAGCTAGGAAGCAAAAGTAGGAGGAGATGGTCAGATTTCCACACGGAGAGTGGTAACCACTGGAGTCCTGCAGAGATCTGTGCTGGGACCTGCTTTGTCCAACGTTCACGAGTCCTCTGGGAGGAGTGTGAACAGCAAGGTGACAGAGTTTGCTGACACTGTGTCATCGTTGAGAATAAGAAAAGGGACAAAAATGGAAACGTGCAGAGTCCTCGTCTCAGGTTTCCGTACTGATCGGTGCTCCACGAGCGAGGCAACTTTGCCATGAGGTGTGGACTGTGCCGTCCTACAGCAAACTAGAGTGAAGGAGAGCAGCATTAGTGGGAGATCTCACAAGGAGCTGAGCTCATGAGTCATTCAGAAGAGCATTTTTAACGTTTCATTTACCAAGCTGTCTTTCAAGAGCACCACTACCTTCACGTATGTTCAGACTTCTAGAGTATTCGGTGAATCAATTTTTTTTTAAAAAAAAAAGCTTTTAGGCTGCAGACTAATTTCTCAAAGCTGCTTTGCTCCACAGCTTCTGCTGATTTCAGTTGAGTCAGTGAATAAATTCCCATTAGCTGCAAATAGTCCTGCTGTGCAGTTAGGACAGCAGGAGGGCGAAGGTAAAGCTGCTGAGAGGTGTGCAGATTCATTCATTCCTGGCTCTGGATGCTTTTTGCTTACTTTTTCCTGTTCTTCAGGTACAGGAAAGACCTCAACCTTGGTCAAGTACGCGGAGAAGTTTGCTGATCTGAATTTCCTTTACGTGACGTTTAACAAAGCTGTTGCAGAGAGAGGAAGAAGTGTCTTCCCCAGAAACGTTACGTGCAGGACTTTCCACTCGTTAGCGTTTGGAAGTGTTGGCAAACAGTGAGTGGGCATCTTAGATTCCTTTGCCGAAGGGCTCTGGAGCGGGGAAGAGATGTGGCAAGAAAGGAAGGTCTGGTTTTGAAAGCAGCCTCCAGGACTTGAGGAAGGACAAATAATGAGGGAAACTATTTTGTTCACCTGCTTCAAGCCAGATTGTGATTTAGGGTTTCTGAATTCTTTCAGGTTGGATGGGCCAGTGATTTTAGCATCCGTATGGGCCTCATTGCCCTGCTCAGGCATAGACTGTGCTGACATAAGCCCCGTTGCTTTTTTGGGGGGGCTGTTCATCCTGCCTGTGTTTTTAGCCAAGGAGTACTCCACAGGGAGATAGAAAGCCACTGAGAATGGCATTTTCACATTTCCTGTTTACACTTTGGTGGTACAACCACTCAAAATGCTGCTTTTCTTTAGCAGAGGAGGGGTTTTCTTAACCTGAGTTGTTCTAATGGTGCAACTTCTGGCACCACCACCAGTTATGTCGGCACATCGAAACTGCAGAGAAAAGGGAAAATGAGCCACAACATGGAAGAAAATGGGAATCCTCTTACCTGGCTCTGAAAACAATCTGTAATTGCAGGGGTGAATGATGGGAGTATCCCTCCGGCTCGACTTTTCATCTATAAAATGAACAAAGTCGTGCTTCCACCAGGAATATAGTGAGCATAAATAGGTGCAGTTTTTAAGGATATTCCATTACTAGGTCAGAGTGGGTGCATAAAACGGAGCTTCTGCAAGCGTTAGTGTGCAACAGAAGCGAAAGTGAGCTTGCTTTTCCAGTAGGCTTTTTGTGTGTATTTCAACATATCTCTCTTTTTTAATTTTTTTTCTCATCTGTGGCACAGCTATAAAGAAAAAGGCAAGCTGAACTTCTCCAAGCTGTCGGTTTACTCCCTGAGTTTCCTTCTCCACAACCGCGAGGGACAGTCTCTGTTCATAAGAGCAAAAACGGTCTCGCAGACCCTTGAGAACTTTTTTGCCTCTTCAGACGAAGAGATCTCTGAAGAGCACACTCCTATTTGGTTCAAAAATACTCATGGCCAGAGAGCACTTGTCAGTCAAGTAGAAAAAGAGGTGAGTATCTGAGAAGAAGCAAGACTTGGGCTGCAAGGTGTAGGAGGAGCCATAGTTATCTCATGTTTCTCATAGTTTACGGGTATTTGTACTTCGGCTCTAAGAACTGACTGTCAAAATATTTTTTTCCTCTGGTGACAAATCCAAAGGAACTGGGGCCTGTTTGTTCTCCCTCTTTGCACAGCTGGTTCCTAGAGAGGAGATTATGACTGTGTCTGCTCCGTGCAGATGTTTCTTCCCTGAAAAGAAAAGAAAGAAGAGATGAAATGTATTTATATCGGTGCCTGAACAACGTTGTGGTATAACATGTAAAGACAATAAACATTTTTGTAGGCATTTTGACACGCAAAGTCGAACCCAGAAGTTCTCATTTAGAGCACAGACATCTTAGCAACACTTAAAGGGTAGCGCTGACATGGCAAACAACATGGGCTGGACTCGTGGAGAAAATTAGCCTTTCTGCTCCGCGTGGATCACATCCGATCAGATCCAGCCCAGCGAGCAGAAATCAAATTTGTGGTCGTTGTTTCTGATGGAATGAACTGACAGCCTCAAACTATTAAATACCTTTAAGCACCTTGCAAGCTGTCCAGAGAAGCCAGAATAAACACAAAATCTGTGTTAATGTGCAGAAATTAGGGGGTGTTATTCTGGCTTGATTGCTGGGCCCAGAGAGTTGTGGTGAATGGAGTTAAATCCAGTTGGCGACCAGTCACAAGTGGTGTTCTCCAGGGCTCGGCTTTGGGGCCAGTTATGTCTAATATCTTTAGCAGTGATCTAGACAAGGGGATCGACTGCACCCTCAGGAAGTTGGAAGACGACACCAAGTTGGGTGGGAGCGTTGATCTGCTTGAGGGCAGGAAGGCTCTACAGAGGGATCTGGACAGGCTGGATCCATGGGCCGAGGGCCATTGTCTGAGGTTCAACACGGCCGAGTGCTGGGTCCTGCACTTGGGTCACCACAACCCCAAGCAAGGCTGGAGGCTTGGGGAAGAGCG